CGGATAGGTGTAAAGCTACGGTCATCGGTTCCAACACACACGTCTACCATAGCAGGGTTCTCAAAATATCTGTCCTGAAAAGCGTTCTCAATGAGTCCTAGTTTTTCAAAAGGAATTGGTCTCTCAATAGAACTCCTACCTGAATGATTCTGTTCCAGTTTATTTAACCTACGCTGAAAAAGTTTTGATTTTGCACTAACAGGATCGCTGCTGGATCGAATTCGAAAAAAATCATCAATTTGAGAGCTAGAATCACTACAAAAATTGATTTGTGGATCATCATGGGTAGGATCGTGATAGAACTGTTTTTCTGGAAAGCTAGAGGGTCCTGTAAGAAACTCAGTGGTACTTTTAAAAGGAGTTGAACTTGATCTGTCCACATCATTATTCTCGCTATCTGTATCATGGGGCGTGTTAACAATGGCAGATATTTCTTCATTCACATCATCTGAAACAAAAATGAAAGTAAAACAGCATGCACATAATGTACTCAACAAGCAGTTCTGTGTCCAGATTTTGATGAGAAAACAGCATGTTGTTGTTTTTTTAATAATAATTAAAAATTCTTCTAATAAAAAAATTAGTTGTTTTTAAACGATAAACAGAACATTTGAGGAACAATTTAACATTATTTACGGTGATAACAGCTCATTGTCGAAATGAAGCTTACCCATTCCTGCTAACCACAATAAACATTGTATTCTTGAATAAGTGTCAATGACTACGGTAAAAGTCAAGTTAGACTAATTTAGGCATCAGAAAAGATTGAAATTTTTGAAAAATACCTCCTAAATTAGAGATTTTACGGTAATCACAGTAATTGTATGAAACTAGTGTATATGTACTTTATAATTGATTACATGATCATGGGTCAGGAGTGAGTGTTGTTTTGACGAGAGTATTGTGTTTTACATTCCAAATTAAACAGAACATTTTTGCAAAGTTCAAAAGCAGTTAAAAATGACTTAAATTTGACAGCATTAGTTACTGGGGTTAAATGACGCTAAAGAAACACGGTATATACCAATATATGTGACTTTCAGAGGGCATGTATGAGTTGCATTAAAACAAGCTGCTAGGCTGGTTGGTGATTCGCTCCGCACAAAAAACAAGCAACATGTTTATGGCTGTTGCCATGGTAGGACACGAAAACCGGGCTACATATACAAAGTTTGACAAAAAGCATTCAGTCTTTAGAAGTCACTTCACTGCACATACTCTGCTGTTATAATTATTATTTCCGACAATTTTGCGATTGCAATTTTCTAATTTTGATTGAATGCACCATTTACAATGTCGGCGCCTGTGATCACTTGTCAGTGCACAACTTAGCCAAAATAAAAATGAACCAAATCGACCTGGCCAAAAAAATAACAGAAGGGTTAAAATGCTGTTCCTGGTTAACAGTTACCCCAACTATGGGGTCAAATTTCTCGGTAATAAAAAAAGATATCAAAAAATTCAAATAGTAATTTTGTGCCCACATTCAAGCTGAGTAGAATGAGCTATGTCTGAGGTGTTTTATCATAAATTTGTAGGAGATACATTTGGTGCAAAGCTATTCAAAGATCATTTTTTTGGCTGTTGCTATGGCAATATTTTTCACATTTTACTTACTAAATAGATTGAAAATGTAACCTGTCTGCCAAGTTTGAGCAAAATTGGCCAAACCAAAAAAATCATAATTACTCAGGGGAAAACCCTAGAAAGCTCGCACACACACGCGCACACACACACACACGCGCGCGCACGCACGCACGCACGCACACACACACACACACACACACACACACACACACACACACACATACACACACATACACATACAAACGTGATTTTAAAGGCAATCCTAGAGTAGCGAATCGCCAATGAATGCATCTAAGACTCACCATCTTCTTGACCTTGTTCCATTGACTTTGACAAACCTTCTATTAGTTTGGGTAAGTCCTTGACTGAAACTTTCCTCTCCCTCTCCTTCACTTTCAACTCATCCCTTTCCATCTGCATCTCTTCAACTATGTTTTCATCAAAACTCTCCTTCTTTGATGTGTCAGTCTGTCTTTCTAGAACTGTTATCAGTGATTCATATTTAGAGCTTGTTTCTGAACTTTGGTCGGATTTTTTAATTTCCTCGCTCTGGGGAGGGGGTGACGGAGTGTCCGATTTGGAGAGAGACTTTGTTAGTCGAGTAAGGATGTTAGCTTTGCTTAGAGGTGTTCTCCTGCTTTCATCCCATGGAGTACCGTACGTGAATATATTGGCTTGTGTTGGTGTGGTTACATTCACAGATGTTGGAGTAGCTGGCACAGATGAATACAATGACCCTGATAGGTCAGCTACACTAGAGGAAGGAGATATTTGACAAGGAGGGGTGGACAGGCCGCATAACACCGAGGGACTCCATACTGATTCCATTTCACGTGACAGAGAAGGTTTTAAGTTTTTTTTGGGAGTAGTTGTTAAGCTTGATTCCAGTGATTTGGGACTGATAATGGAGTGACTACGATGTTCTGATGATCCCTCTTCGGAGGCGGTATTACCTGTCAAATAAAAACACACAACAAAGTTGTAAACCAATTGTTGAAGATTATCATGGGCTGATGAGAGAGATGTTGTATGCTGATGACTTGGTCTTGATGGATGACACAATGGAGGGATTGAGGGAGAAGTTTGTGAAATGGAAAAAAGCATTTGAGAGTAAGGTTTGAAGGTAAATCTGGGAAAGACAAAAGTGATGGTGAGTGGGACGGAGGAGAAAGCCTTGGTGAGTAAGGTTGACCCATGTGGCATGTGTGGAAACGAGGGTAAAGGCAAATTCAGTGCGGTGTGTGAAATGTGGGA